CCAATTCCCAGAGGAGTTTGAGAGATCCACAAAGTCCTTGAGATATCCCATCTGATCAGAGGACAGACGAAACAATCTTGGGAAGACATCTTTGAGACAGATATTTGCACACCATCTATCATGCCAGAATTTGATTCTGGAACCATTGCCCACTTTTAATTGCAGGTTATTAACATAGTATTGCAAGAGAAGGTCCTTCTATTCCACTGCTGCTATTATGTCACTCCAAATTCTGGAAAGATTGATGCCTGAGATTAGAGATGGAAGCTAGATTCCTTCTGAAAGTCTATACTTGCTGCATGTGACTCTCTTTCATAATGAGTGATGTTCACAAGCAAACCTCCACCACTACTTGAGAAGTAAGTATACATTCACATCTCTAATTCTTCTAATAACCAGCCCACTTTGATTAATGCTCTTGGTAACCTCTGACCATTTTACTAAATGTATTTTCCTCTTTGAATCTGGGCCACCCCACAAGAATGAAGCTTGAATTTTATTAATCTCTCTGGCTATTCCTTCAGGTAACCTGAACAGAGACAAGAAGTAGATTGGTAGACTTGACAGAACAACTTTCACCAAGGTTAACCTTCCTGCAAAAGATAGAAATCTCCTTTTCCAGCCACCAAGCCTTAATTTGAACTTTGTAATGACAGGCTGTCATGTCTTCTTTCTCTTAGGACTAGTACCCAGAGGTAAACCCAAGTACTTAAGTGGTAATTTTTTGGGTCTTATAGTTCAGCATTGAGGCAAATTCATCAAGAGCAGAGGTAGATATATTTAACCCACAAACCACACTTTTGTGATAATTGATTTTGAGCCCTGAAGCTATTTCAAAACATCTGAGGATCCTTTTCAAGGTAAGAACTTCTGCCAGATCAGCCTCACAGAATAATAAAGAATCATCTGCAAATTGAAGGTGAGAGAGCTGAACATGACTGTTACCGATGATTACCCTTCTATGCAATCTCAACTCCCTAGCTCTGTGGAGGAGAATATTGAGTGCTTCTACAACTACATTGAATAGAAATGGTGATAGAGGGTCACCTTGCCTAAGACCTTTCTGAGGGCTGAATACCTTGGTTAGTGAACCATTGACAAGTATTGAGATCCTTGAGGATGAAGTACATTCCTTAATCCACGAGATCTATTTGGAACCAAACCCAAAATTTGCAAGCATTGAGTAAAAGAACCCCCAATTGACGGAATCAAAAGCTTTTTCAAAATCTAGTTTGAGTAGCAGCCCTGCTTTCTTGGATTTGTGCCATCCATCCACAACCTCATTGGCAATCAATACTCCATCAAGGATACTCCTACCACCTAAGAAAGCTGATTGTGTATCTCCAATCACAAGGGGCAAAACTTTTTTAAGCCTAGCTATAAGAACTTTAGAAAGAATTTTGTATACAGAGCCAACCAATAGGCCTAAAGTCCTTTAAGTTGACAGCTCTTTCCTTCTTTGGGATGAGAGTAATGAAGGTACTGTTTACACCTAAGACCAATCTGCCATTGATATGGAATTCTTTCATAAAATTAAGCACTTAATGTATGTATATACATGCACAATCACGGTAATTCCTTCTTTTTTTTTTTGTTTTGTTTTTTCCCAAAGACACATAGTTATGATCCTCCTCTCTGCTCCCATTCTCACACGAATTTAACTATTTTTTTGGTATCTTAGTTCTATTTTTTCTCCTAAATTATTGGATAGTATTAACTTGATGTCTATGTTTCATTGGTCACCTACCATAGTGTGTCCCGTGTAAATTCTTAAATTTAGCTTCAAACTGTGGTCATGTGAAAGACATGTTCACAAAGCACTGGTATCGGATGTGGGTTTGTGTCCAAGGTCTTCCTAAACTTACATATTAGGATATTAGTGTTTGCATTTAAAAGTTAGGCATGAGTATGGGGACACGTCTTAGATGTACTTTATATTAAATGGGATTTAGAAATGGAATTTATTTCTCCCATTTGAGTGAGATGCTAAAAATGTTTCTTCATTAGCAAATGTGGCTGTCTTCTACTTCAAGCTTCATATGAAATTAGAGAATTAAGTGCCGCAGTTAGATATACGAGGATGATAATGCAAGTGAATCAACATGGATTTGTATTCATTCACCCTTCTAGTTTTTTAAACTAACGAACACTCTATGCAATTGAAAATATAGGCTCTCGATTACAGAGAACAAGAGAGCTAGCTGAGAATGATGGTGAGGATGTTCAAAAATCAAGGCGAGCACTGGTTGATCTAGCTCACCGAGTCATTACAAGAACAAAGTAGAGAAGGAACATCGATTCCTGCCACAATGATTTCTTGCGTCAGTTTTTCCCTTAATTTTTTTTTCATCAACGGTTTTGTGAGAGATTTATTTCCTCAATATAATTCTTTTGGTTTTGTTTTATGTTTTAATCTTCATATAGTTGTGATGAAACCAAAAATATTCTTCAAAACTTGATGTCAATTGTAATATTGGGAAATATTTAGGAATTTGATAAATAAAAAGAACTTTATATTAGTTTATTCAGTTCATATTTGTAATCGAGCTGATTACAAATACAATAATCAGCATATGTTTGCATTTGTGAAGTGAATTTCAAAAACCAATACTATTCTTCAATATATATATGTCAATGCCAAAGTTTGGTTGTTGGTGCCGTTATGTTTGATGTGGTTAGTTTGGTCGGAGCGGAATTAATGAACTTTTTAAGATATTCATCATTGTGTTTCATCGCTCGAGAATCGGCTACTAATAACTTTGTATAGTTGGTTAGAGAGAAGGTAGGATCTGGATTTGTTTGTTTTCATAGATTTCTTAGATGACGTTCTTGGTTAGGTGTTTTTAGGGTTGTCTTGTATTGGGAGTTTCTTATACATTGTCTTGATATTTTTTTAACAAAATTTATTTATCAAAAAAAAAAAAATAATTTATGTTCACTCAAGTGAGTACACTTGTTTAATTTATACACACCTAGAAAAGTCAAAACATGTGAGAAGCCAAACAATATATAGGATGGTGTCAAAGATTTCTTTCAATAGTTACCTAATATCTGATTGAGTCACAAGACTTGGTTTGAATTAATTTGATTTAGTTACATAATTTGGTTTGGTATGATTTGATTTAGTTATATAATTAATGTGTAGAATGAGAGATTAAACATGCTTAGAGAGTCATTTGGGTGAATTCGGAGGTCTGAAAACATGTTGGCAAAAATTAAAACAATAATGCTCATACATTATATTCTATGGTTTGAATTTAAAAATAAAATATAAAATGACGTCATCGATTGCCCTAAAAAAAATAAAAAAAGTGACCTCATACATGATTGGATGGGTCCGGGTTGAACATGGACCGTTGCACCCCACCAATTGAATCGACCAATTGCCTTTACTAATTGTATGTTTGAATTGTAGAAATCAAATATGAGGAATGGAGTTTTATTATCAGAATTTTTATAACACCAGTAGTAAGTGATTATGTGAATGTTATTTAAGCATCTGATTTAGTTAAAAAAAAATTTTTTAAAAATAATAAATTTTGAAATATTGTAGCCTGTCTATTTAGTTTGAGAAATTGACTTTATATAAACATATGATTATAGTTATCGAATCAATTTAATTTTTTTTAAGTACTAATTATTTTTAAAAGGTAATCATAAAAAGATTAAAAATCATCAAAATACATCCTATAAGGAGCTCATGACGAAGAATTGGACAGTGCAGTCTAGTTTTGTCATTAGAGTTCATTTTTGTTCAGCAATTACTTAGTTAATGGTTGATTTGTCCGAAATTGAGCTCCAATGAGCATAACTTGGGGCTTGAAGGTGTACTATCTCTAAATCTCAGATTCAATATTCACTAACTATAATAAGCTCTCTGGAGCCACTCCATATAAGACGTTTATTCTGGCTTTAAATGAGGTCCTTGCAAGTGGGTGGTGGGATTAATTGAGGTGCGTCTAAACTGATCTGGACATTCAGTTAAAAAAAAAAAAATAGATACATTACAAGTGCTGTTGTTAGGTATGAGTACAGTACTTCAGTGCTTTTACGGGGTGAAGTTAAGGGTTCAACTCTCTCAAAATATTAATTTAATAATTAACAACTACTTTCGCTGATAAAAAAAAAAAAAAATCATTTTAAGTTAAATTATTGTTTGACATACGGTGCTGCTGTCATATATAAGCGCTGTTTGGTCCATGACAAAAAACGGTTAAGTTGGACCGTTTCAAGTTTTTTACCTGTTATTTTTGTTGAGAGTCAATGGTGAGGGACGAGCTGACACCCCCCCCCAAAAAAAAAAGTAATAATAATAATAAAAAAAGTAATATTACTAAGTAATAGTCTAATTTTAAAATTTAAAATAAGACACTTCAAACATGGCATCACACCAGGATCATCTCATCAACCAGGCAAATTTTTTGTATAGTATTGTGCCTGATGAGAGTCAAACATGAGGCGTCCAAGATTGCCCAAAAAAAAAAAAAAATGCACAAATTCAAACCCCTATCCTCATGGATGTTGTATGAAAATTATATATGATTATTATTATTTTGTATTTCTCTACATTGATTAATTGGAATCACTCCACTTGATGATACATAAGATTACAGTTGTGATTGAGACCCCTCAATCACCAACCCCCCTCCACACACACACACGTGAGAGTTGGTGATTGAAGGAGGAGAAGAAAAAAATAAATAAATAAATCTGGCCAATCAAAGGCCAGAGGGGTCGTGGGGGTCACCCCTGGAGGAGGTCCGGATCATTTTTCAAAAGATTATTGTCTTCTATTTTTGGTGAACATGAATGTTAATGAGCATGTTATAACTTGTGTAAAACACAATGTACTGATCAGTATTATAATTCTTTCTTTCATTAACTCACTATTTTTACAATGAATAAATGAATGGAATTGATTTACAATATATGGACAAAATTACAAACAACTAAAGTCAGTGTTACATATGTTACAATTGAATTGAATTGCATTGAATGAATTAGAAAAGCTTGCTTGCAAACTGTTGCATGGCCTCTCCTTTAATTGAAGAAGAAGCTGCAAGGTCTTTTAACTCTAATAAGCTCCTTCCAAGCTGCAAAGCGACCTTCATTTCAAACATCTCCCCATTCTCTCTCCTCTCCACTTCTTCTTCCTCCAAATTTGATTCAATAGACTCTTCCATGAGCTTAAAGAAACCAGCATTGCTTCGGTACATCTCAAACACCATTCCAACTTGCCCGCCATGCTCGAATGCATTCACGACAGTTGACAAAGCGCCACCAACAACTCCAAGCACCACAGCCCATGAGCCATGGCCAGGGCTTCCCACGAAAGCCGAGCCAATGGCTGCCAGGCCAGTTAGTAAAGGGCCGGAAATGGCTAACACCTTGTTCAATTTCAAGAAAATTTCACCTAACCTCAAGTAGTCTTCCTCGTCTTTCCTCTTCAAAACCCTAACTATCTCTCTCATTTCCTCTTCCAACTTATCGTCCCAACCATTCCCATTATTAATCTTTTCTCCCATTATATTCTTTCGCTTGTCTCTTCTCTTGATGCAGAGGCCACCAGACGGCAGGCTCTACAGTTTTAGGGAATTTTTCAAACATCACGCCTAGTAAGGGAAGCGGGTAGGCCTTGTCAAGTGCCAAAACCTTTTCCATTGCCTTCTTCACATCATTCATGGTTGGATTCCCAATGCACACCATCGTGTGAATTTCTGCGTGGAGTTGCTTAAACAACCTAGAAGCGTTTCGTTGCTCTTCGGTGAGTTGAGATGGTTGAATCTTGTTCATGATTAATAACATCCCACTAGCCGCCAAATATAACAAAGTGGAAGAGAGCTTAAGGGACCCAAGGGCAGCGCCACCGCCTACACCGGTGGCTGCAATGCCTGCCATTGTAGCGGCTGTAAGAGTGATTGCATTAATGGAGGTTAAAAGAAGGCTATTCCAGTTGTTTCTTTGCTCTCCAATATTTTTATGCATCTCCACTCTATCCACGATAGCCTCCATGATCGCATAAAGCTTTGCTATCACCGTAGGATCAGAAACCCTAGTATCATATTTAGGAGAAGAGTTAGTGTTTGCATTTGTGTAACCACTTCTCATTTCTAACTCTTCCACCAAACCTCTAGTTTTGGTGAGGTTGGGAAGAGAAAGTAGACCTCCATGGCGGAGCTTCGGCATATGGACGGCAGCTCTGATAATCTCTCTCCGACAACATGAAGACGATGAAGTCGATGAGAACATCAAGCTTGAAGCTTTAAGGCTGGCCATAATTTATTGGCTTTGGATTAGAAGATTGGTTTGTGTGAGAGGTAGGTTTATATCTGGGTGTTGACAGTATTGAATGGTTTAGGCTTGTGATCGTGTGGATCGATATTTAAAACCTAGTTGTGATTTGGGTTATGGAGTTTAGAGTTTGATTAAAGAGTGTATTGAATTTGAATGGAAATATGTGGCTTGGTATATATAGAGACAGAGGTTGGGGTTGACATGCAAAGGAGCAACTGTTCAAAGTTTAATTTGGTATTCCATTGTTTAGAATATTACTGAGTCTTTGTTTTGTTTTGTTTTATTTATTATTTTGCTTCATTGATTTCAAAAAACATAACAACGAGTTAAGAACCTTGAAATAGTCCAACTCAACCGTTATTTTGTCTTTTGCCATTCCTAAAACAGAACTTGTACTAATGACAACCACACAATATGGAAAGCATTCATATTTTGAGTAAAGTATGATGGATCTCAAATATGGATTCATATTTTATTTTATGTTTGTGTCTTATATTGTAAAAATATTTTGTGTTCGTAGCTCAAATGTAGAATTTTATGTTAAAATGATATGTTGAGTGTAAATTTAGCGAAATGAATTTGTTCATATATTTCAATTATGAATAATTTTTTTTTTTTTTGTATATAAAGCCATCAACTTCATTTCTATTACCAATTATAATATTAGGAATATAGAAATCAAACACAAAATGTGTTACAGAGACCAAACACAATAAAAAATAAATGTCTCGCAATGTAGGCCCCCCTCATTAGGAGGTATTTGTGTTATGCACTCAGATTTATTGCTATGCTATAATATATAATAAGTATTTGTCACCTTAATTGAATATTAATTAAATTTATGTAAGGCCCATAATTGTCATTAATATCCAATCAAAAACACTAAATGCTTAATTATCCAGAAAGCCAATTTTGAACCAACTATCAAATACCGGCTGGTCAGCAATTTGGGTTGAAACAGAGGAAATATAAAGCGCGTTTTGGCGATAACCAAAGAATTGGTTCAAGAATGCCAGGATAGCACATGAAAGAGTCCCTAAAACCCATGTCCGGAATGTCAAGCAAGGCAATGTTGGATCATCTGTTATTGGCACCGTCAGGCGGACTTGCTCGATTGGAGAATCGTTTACCTCTTCTGCAGAGAATTTTGTTTTAGAAACTAAACCTGGATCTCTCGTAAACACAACATGTCTTTCATATAATTTTACGCTCTCACTCCATTTGTTTTAACGTAAAATATTTTATATAAAAATATAATTTTCTTACAAAATTGATTTTACACAAAAAAAAAAAAAATGTTTTTGTTTTAAATTTTCGGCTTTTGGTTGGCAATTGGAACAAAAACATTTTATTACCTAAAAGAAAAAATTTGATTCAATAAAGTGTCATTTTAAACTTTTTAGTCAATTAAGATATTTATTTGAAAATGTTAAATATGTTGAAAAGATAGTGAGTGAGAATCAACTTTGTAAAAATTGACTTACAAAATTTTTAAAGGTAAGTCATTTAAAAAAAAAATGATGCAAAAATATTTTTCTTAAAAAATATTTTACTCACTTTTTTTTTTTTTAACCAATTTTTTTTCCAGCCAAATAGCAAAAAATGAGTAAAATATTTTTGTCAAAAATATTTTCTGTCGAAATAAACGGAGCCTACATGTTATTCATAGTTCTGAGACTTAATCTTGCCACAATAGCTTTGAGAGAATTCATAGTAGACATAATATTTGTACACATTAGACAATTATTGATAGAAAATGTTAAATATACAAAATTTTTACACAGAAAATTTATACAGATTGCGTGTGAGTGAATTTCCGAACACATTGCCAACTCAGTATTCAACTGGAGAGCACTGGCAGAATAGGATAAGCCCGAACGACTTGCAACAGAAAGAAGAGATTCCGGCGGTGGTTCGTTCACCCGGGGGCACTCCGATGATTAAGTCAGTAATCAAATATCTTTCAAAGATAATCAATAGTGCTTGCTCACTGTTCTGAATATAAATTGCGTACCTTAGACCCATGGGGTTGCTTTTCTTTTATAGCCAACACAATCCTAGTCCAAATAGAAGCCTAGCTTCAATGGACTTCTGCTCAGTGCTTAGTTTGGACTCTCCAATAGATAAAGATAAACTCCCTAAGAGTTTTATCCTTATCCAGGCTGAAATCCTTCCTCATTCTAGGACTCTTTTCCCTTATCTGCTTATCCCGGATTTCGATATCTTCGGAGATAACCTCGGCCTAGCCGAGATCACCTCGGCGTTACGACCAGGACACGTGGTACCTCGGCTGACACGTCGGCGTCACCTTGGCCACGTGCTGGTACTCAGAAAATATATATCCTCACAACTGCCCCCTAGGCTCTATTACCTCGGCATCCTGAGGTGATGTAGCCTATTTCGTTATATCGTATAGCATGTCGGCTATCTTGCTGTATCATCCATTTACCGAGGTCATAATACGTCGGCTTCATACGACCAGGTCCAGCCGAGGTCACTTGCTTCTTTAAACCAAGAACTCCAAGAGTTTTATCACGCGTATGAGCTGTCATGCAAAATAAATCAACCCTTTCTACCACGCATCTTCCCTTCACTGGATCGTACTGAATACGTGCCTGTAAGTCGAATTTTTCTCGTGTGCGCTGTCTGACATATACTTCGTTTTAGGCACATTAATTGCCTTTTTGCCGCCGTTTCGAGTTTAGACAAAACTTCATTTCTTCTTTCTGTCTCTTCATTTTGCACCACTGTTTCTGAAGTTTTTCCTCTCTCTAACTTTTTCTCCCAGAATACGCCATTGTTACAGATTTTCAAGCTCTGTAACTGTTTTCATTCATTTGCTCCGGTGAAGCTTTCGCTGTCCTCTTTTGATTGCAACCACCTCCTGACTCCAGTGTTTTCAATACTGGCTTCACTTTTCTGCCACAACTCCTCCAACAATGTCCTCATCTCGGCCAGATCAAGGGTCAACCTCAGATCCAGTAGAGCAGCCATCCACCTCAGCTCCACAACTGATTCCACCATCTCAATGCCGCCGCCGCCGACGAACTATTTTTGCTGCTGAGATGGACCGCCAGAAAGCAGTCGCTAAAGACCTTTTGGCCAACATTCCATTCACCGTAGATGCCCAACCAGCGTAGTCCCAGCCTCCACCAAAGTCAAAGCTAAAAAGAATAAAGAAGGCTCAGCCAAAGGCAACGGTGACTCAGATTGATACTGAGGACGCCTTGCCAATTTCAAAATTGGTTGAGAGTGAGAAGACCTCTTCTGTTGTCGAGAAGAGGCCTACTGATACCGAACCATCTCAATCAACTCAATCTAAAAGGCCGAGGTCAGAGTCAGCCACAGCTTCGGGCTCCATGAAGTCTGATCCCCCCTAGGCTCCACCCATTACTTTGGAGGACAGGCCGGTCAAAGTTGATGAAAGTGCCGACGACATCAACGTCGGTGTTGCCCTTATTATAGCCTTGCTCCTCCCTGGGGATCTCGACCGCAATGCTGAGATGACTGAGTATGAAAACTTCGCCTTGATACTGCAGCACTCTGCTGAAGTAAGTCCCCTTTATTTGGTAATTTTTCTTTCTCTATTTCATACTTCGAAAATTTTCTAATAACTTCTGCTCTGTCCATTTTTCTTCAGGCAATCCAGCACGCCCACTCCTTCTCAATGCAGTCTTTTGAGAAAAGGAAGGCGTTGGCCGACAAGACTAGGGAGGTTGCTAGTCTGCAGAAGGCCAACAAAAGGGCTGAGGCAAAAATGAAAACCTTGGCAGACCAGGCCGAGGCTGCTGTTAAAGCCAAAGACGTGGCCGAGGAAAAGGCAGATGCTGCTGATGCCATAAATAAGGTTCTTGAGGCCCAGAAAAAAGAAGTCGAAGAAAAGACGGCCGAGGCCCAGAAAAAGCTACAGGATGCTTTGGCCACAAAAGACGCTGAGCTCAAGGTCCCCGAAGAAAAGGGATTCAATGAGGGGGTGACCGATGTCACGGCGGACTACGAGAAACAGGTGAAGCATGCATGCAACAAAGGTTTCACCCTTGGTCGGATGACTTTATTGAAAAAGCTTGAAATCCCCGAGGACTCCCCCCTCAGGAACACCGACATCCTCTCCTTGCCATTCCCCTAAACTCTAAGCCAATCCGACGACGATTCTGAGTCTGAGGAGGAAGCTTTGGTGAGGAAGTCAAAGGAAGCTGCTGGAGCCAAGTCCCCTACTCAAAATGAGCAAGTCCTGAACTTGACTCAAGATGAGGATGGTGAGGAGGTTCCCAAAGACGCTACTCCTGAGAAGGCAACGTCGGACGTGCCTATTGCAGATAAGAGCCTTGACAAAACCCTTGAAGAAATAGACGTCGAGCTCGTGGCTGAGAAGGCCGCCGAGATGTCTTCTCAGTAGTCCTCCGAGCTCCAGACCCAACTTGCCAGTGGCGCCGAAGAATCTTAGTTTTATGCTTTTCTCTTTTTTCTGTACCTTGTATTTTTTTTTCTTTGAAACAATGCAAGCTCTCGATGTGGCCGATGTGCCTTCTTTTGAATGTTAATACAACTTTCTCTCCTGAATGTTTGTATTTTTGTCATCATTTTACTGTCTTGTATGATTTTATACTTAGAATAATTTTTCATGCTTTCAAGCATACACCTTATCTGTGTAATTTCCTCGGAGTAATATACCTCGGTAAGTACATAAGTACATCTCTTAATGCAACCTTGGCTTTAACTTGTAAATTCTTTCACAAATTTCAACAAGTGTTCAGTTCAACTTCAACTTGTAATTTTTTCACAAATTTCAACAAGTGTTTAAACATGATCTCGGTCTAACTTCAACTTGTAAATTTTTCACAAATTTTAACAAGTGCTAAACATGATCTCGGTCTAACTTCAACTTGTAATTTTTTCACAAATTTCAACAAGTGTTAAACATGATCTCGGTCTAACTTCAACTTGTAAATTTTCACAAATTTCAACAAGTGTTAAACATGATC